CCTTTTTACTTTGATATTTTACATCACTACGATATGTCGTCCTGTTTTGTTTGACCTCAGCCAATCAGTGCCTGTGGAATTCGTTGCGATCGGATTCCATGGTAATCAGGAGTAATAAAGACTGTAGCACCCAATTGCAACGGGTAGCAATTGTGAAATCGATTACTTATCAACTACTATTGGTAAGCTTTCAGACACGATTTTACTTTGTGATTGGGTGCAATTGGGTATTGCAATTGCTACAACCGATCGCAATGCGAAGCTAGTCTGAATGGGGTATAATTTACACAGTAATGCTGATGATTATGATGATAAAGATCATAAAGATGATGATAAAGATGAGGATGATGATAAAGATATGTTGATGATGGAAATATATATGATGATGTGATAAAATAATAAGATAATGATGATTATTATTATGATGTGATAATGTTATTATAATTATGATTATGAAGATGAAAATGAAGAGGATGAGGATAATGAATGTTATGAAAGTAAAGTAAATGATGTTCATAGTGATGATGATGACAATGACATAAAAAGGCTAATTATGATGTGAATGATAATTGATGTTCACTGGAAACATTAAAATAAAAATATCCAGACATTTATATTGCTTGAGATCTTGTATGATAAAGTATGTGATCTTTCATTAAAAAATGCTCATTACTAATCAAAATGCATTGCATGGCTAACTACGAAAAGGACCATAAAAAAATTACTCTAAAAGATATTACACCAAGGAAGCATTATTAATATGACAGATAATATTCACTGTAGCTTTATAATTCCTCAATTGTAATTTGTGTCTGCAACATAAAATTAATTTCTTTAAGATGAAGTAACTCATAAATGTCTAAAAAAAAAATCTAGTGCAAGTACAATAACAAGACCAAAAATAGATATCTTAATTAAAAACAATCATGAATACTGTAGATATTTTTTGCACCCATTGAACATGGTAAGAATATATGTATAGCCTTCATTGTATTGCCTTAAGCAGTATTATAAAAGATAAAGAAATCAATCATTCTGGACCATTCTATACTTGAAAAACAAACACCAAATTTTAGTCACAAAATGCAAAAATTAAAAATTAGGAATATGTTAACTTAGGGAACAAAAGCAGCTACTTAGGATAAGTTTTATTTTTTTAAAAAAATTAAAAAAAACCAATAAAAAAATAGCAACTAATATTCTAAAAGTACAAATTTTCAAGAAAATCTACTTTTAGATAAACTAATTTATTTATTTATTTGTTATTCATTTATTTATTGCTCGTCATTTGATATATATCATGTTTCTATATTATGTAATGAAGTTATTCCTAAATTCATCTACAACTCTCAATATTTCATAATATAAAAAGACTGTCAAGTATCCCCAAGATTTCATTTAGAAAATATAAACAAAATCAGTCAAGAATATTTGACAAGCGTCTGCACGACTTACTCTGGATCAAAGCCGAGTCAGAATACTATACGTACACAGTGCCATTCACACTTCCGAACACAGGAAAACAAACATGGCGCATAGCTTCAAGTGCCTAGTTGACAATCGCTTTTGTTGCCTTTGTTTTATAAATATTTTCTTTACTGATTCATTGATTAGTGAAGTGAAATGCTTTTGTTGTCACTAATGACTTGTATTCCTTGCTGTAGAATTCTATTATTATAGTGGGTTAAGTTATACAGTAGTTTGAATCAGGGGAAATATTCATTCCATTGTATTACACAACAATGATGATGAATAGAAATGATGAATAGTTTTAGATGATTATTATATCAAGTATGTAAAATTATTATTCCTGTATTATTGTTCTTGTTTTAATGTTAAGGTATTGAGTAATATATCTTAGTAAATTTTCCAATGTTTTGTTGTCAATCCTGTTATTTAATATTACGGATGCACCACCCACTAGGGTGTGTGCCACTGAACGCTAATTTATGGTAATGATGAAGATGACTATGAAGTTGTTGCTGGTGATAATGATGTTAATAGTGATAATGAAAATGTGCATGATAATTATAATGAAAATGTTGATAATGATTTTATAAATTATGATAATGATGATGTTATTATTCTTAATATATACAACAATTAGAGTTATAATAATGGCACAACTATGTTTGTAAAATATTTATACAATATAAATACTGATAATTATGATTATGATGATAATGACAATGATAATGTTATATGATGATGATGATGATGATGATGTTTATATAGTAGTGATAATGAAAAAAGTCATAACAATGAAGTTTATAATGATAATGAAAATGTTGATGATTACATAATTTATGATGAAGATGCTAAATTATAAAATATATGACAATGATAGTTATAATGATAATGGTACTGAAGTGACACTGTTGTCTGTAATGCAGACAAACCAGCATTACCTTCAATACAAACAACATAAACATACAAACCAGACTTAAAGATTTGAATAATAAAAGACAGTTCAAATAATGGCTTAAAAGAACAATTATACATATTACTAATATTAGCTGTTGATTCGCTGAACAAATATTTTAGAAATGTATGACATCAGTTAATAAGTAGAAGGTACTTGCATTGTAATTCTATATGATAATATATATAGGCTTATATCTGTCTCTTATACACATCTGGCCCCGAAGGTGCCCCTACCCATAGGGTCCTCGATCTAGCACCCCCTTTGTTCGTTAAAAACAATCTAGAATACAATGACAAATATTCTGTCTC